GTACTTGAGGTCTTCTATAACTAAGCTGAAGACAGTTATCTCTTATCACTTATCAGTTGCGCGCAAATCGCGCACATAAAAAAGCAAATTTTATATAGAACTTTTTTTTTCTTATCATTTTTCCCGCTTTTCGCGGAACTGATAAGAGATAAGAGATAATTGACTTCAGCAATGATATAGAAGACCTCAAGTGCTACAACTTTGCCGGAGACACCAAGTTGTTATCTCTTATCAGTTCCGCGGGAACCGTGAAAAACCTCGAAGACCCGCTAAAAACGAACATACTTGCTTTTAACCATTTTTAAGTCGACAGAAACTTGCTCTTCTCTTTCGTAACAAAGTCAATCAAACATACACTACTCTCAATCTCACCCATAGACATAAGATTATCATTGTCACATTCATCGGAAAGAGAAAAAATGTAGCGATTCGATGAACAAAAAAGTCCACATGATACCGAAGTTTTTTTTTTGTTCATTTCGATTGGGGATTGGAAATTCATTCGATGTGCTTGCGAAAAGTGAGCGTATCAAGTTGTGCAAGAGAGTCAATGAAGCGTCTGTTAGCTTTTGACCCGCAGTGCGGGTCCCGCACTGTATGTTCCAATGAAAATAGCTCGAATATGGGACCCTGAAATCGGTAATCTGCCTTCACTTTTGTTCTCTCGTTCATTCGCTCGTTCTTCTTCATGTCGTACTCTCTCTCTCTTTCTCTCTCTTGTTCTTCCCTTCATCTCTCCTCACGGAAAATGCATTCATATTTCACGATTGATGCCAAACACAAGCGCTATTTTTTCATGTGTAAAAAATGCGGAAGGGAAGTTTAGCACGGAATATACACATACGAGTATGATCGCAAGAACGAGCGAACACACAGACGATGGAGCAAGGGGAAGCATCGCTGAAAATGCGCTGAGCTTAACACAATCCCGTGATGTGTATTATTAATGCTCGAGTGCTTTTCCATAGGCATCACCAGCACTTGTGAGAGGCTGCTTCCAAAAAATCCTCTCTCTCCTTCCTTCCTACACACACACACTCTCTCTCTCTCTCGCTCACGTTCTTTCCCACTCTCGCTCCTGCGCCCATTCTCTTTCATGATCATTCGCTCGCTCATCATCATAGCAACAACAATAATATAAATCAGTGTTGAAAACAATTTTCGCATATCCCGAAAATGTTCATGAATAATTCGGAAAATAGCATGTCAACATTTCCATACGCACATGTGTGTGTGTGTGTGTGTGCGTGCGTGAATTGTTCCATCTCTATCGTGTTTTTGTTTCTTTTTGTGCCTTGTCATTGCCGCCTTGCCATTCCTCCTTCTCTCTCTATCTCTCTCTCAATGTCCCGAGGAAAATGTTCGGCTAACGCTTTTGTATTTGTGCATTAGCATTAAAAATGAATATTTTCATAGAGAAGTTCTTCTTGTCTTCGGTTCAGTTAGAAAAAAAAAATACTTTGATGTTATCTAAGTTAATTGATTTAACACTTTTGGTTGACGGCATGGAATGAAAAATGGGGTGAAAAATGTGCTCCTAGACAAAATGGATTACAATGTTTTATCTTTTTCAATTACTGTCACTGCAAATGTAGCTCCGCAACTAAGTAATTGGCATTTTGATGATGGCTTATTCAAATCGATACAATCAATCTCTTGGCATGTACTACAAAGAGAATCCTTTTTTTTCATTCCGAATATTTTCGCAAATTGCGAGTGTTTGGCGAACAGTGCTATTTCTACAGCCGCAAGATGGTTTTTCGGTGGCACATCTGAATTGTGCATTGAAAATCCAACAAATAACATACTGGGCGGACGTTGGCAATTGTAAACAATTTGAATGAGTTTGTTTAAGCTAACTCTGTATTAAATCAATGAGAGGGAATGAAGCGGAGCTCCAATCAGTCACATCCTGATTTCAATCAACACTTGTCTCTTTGCCAATTTCAAGTAGCACAACCAAAACCACCCACATTCGGGTAATGTATGGGCGATATTGAAAAAGAGCGCAAAACTCATCGAGAATGTAATTTTCATTCAAAATTGGATTGTGTCACACAATCATTGTGTGAATTAAGGGAAATGTTGTAACGGAAGAAGAAATCAATTTCTGCATAGTCGAACATTGAACTGAAGTTGAGTCGACACTATGATTTCAGATCTTGGTAAAGCTTTGGAAAATGGACAGTTCTCCACTATAAATATCAATTTATTGTGATTGTACTTTGAAGAACAATACTCTGATAATCTTTCATTTCAGCACAATACATTATACCCTTTGTTTACTACACATCCTCTAAAAAGCATTTTTTTTTTCTCATTTTTCGATTTTTGATTTCGTTGCCGAATATGTGCAGTTTGTTCAGGTTTTTCATGTGATAATAAGACTCGGTGCATACCATCCGATTGGAAGTGTGACGGTCATGTCGATTGTTTGGATCAAAGTGATGAATCAAATTGTGAAAAATGCGGCAATGACACCATCTACTGTGGCGAGGATAGATGCATGAGTTCAGTACATGTTTGCGATGGTGAGGTAAATTGCCCGTACGGTCAGGATGAACGTAATTGTGGTAAGTGAACACCCAATTCGGATGAGTTTTTTTTATTGTTCTCTTTTTTTGCCAAATTGTATTCCACATAATCCAGCTGAATAACTCGGTTTGGAAGACCAATTGACACATCGAATCAATTTCATGTCAAATTTCAGGTCTTCTCCACTTTTTCACTTTTTCTAACCGAAAAAAAAAACTCCTTTCTTAACAATTCAAACATGATTTTTAGTTTATTCAACGATGCACTCTTTTCTTCTCGTTTGTTTAGTCCGTCTTAGCGGACGAAATGGTGATATAGGCAAAGGTATATTGGAAATTTACAAAGTGAGCTTAAAGAAATGGGTGCCAGCATGTGTGGAGAATTGGCATCAAACCACGTCGCCCACCATGGTGTGCTCGTTGCTTGGTTACAGTTCAGTGAATTCCAGCCGAGTTGCGATGCGTTTAACAAATCAAACGATCACACCATCGTCCATCAATGCCAAAGAGTCACACATCATTGCCCGAATGTATCAGCGGAAAAAAACCAATTTGATCAAAGAATTTGGCAGTTGTACGTCAAATGAAAATCATGCAGTGCTCGATTTAACATGTACAAACTATGGTGAGTGTTTTACCATGTCTGTATAAATTTTCAATTCATATTCATTGGAACATTTGTTGTCTCCGATTGAATAGAGTGTGGACGGGTGCGAAATCGACCGGTACGAGCTCGAACACGAATTGTTGGCGGTTCCGAATCATCACCAGGTGATTGGCCATTTTTGGCTGCTATTCTAGGTACAGATTTACATTTTTGATATGTTATTGCCCGACATATTTATTATTATGTTATGTTGGGATTTTTTTTTTCTTCCTTATAAAGTTATTAAGATTTGGCATAATAATAACATAACATGTTATGCGTTATGTCGGGTGTTATCTTAATAAATCTCTTATGTCAATGTCTTGATAACATATCGACGTTATTACTATGTTAATTAAGTATAGTTAATAATATGTTATTGCCCGTAAATCTGTAATTCTAGGCGGACCCGAAGAAGTTTTCTATTGTGCTGGCGTTTTGATTGCCGATCAATGGGTGCTCACCGCTTCGCATTGCATTGGAAAGTAAGTTGTCGATCCAATTTGATTAAGTTTTGTTCTTTTTAAACAAGTGAATGAAATTTTCCTCAATAAAAAACTGTTTCAATTGAACAAAAAAAAAACAATTTCAGTAAGTCATTGCACAGCATAAACAGCTGGACGATTCAATTGGGTATAACACGTCGAAACTCGCACACATACTACGGGCAGAAAGTGAAGGTGCAACGTGTGCTACCGCATCCACAATACAATTTGGATGTAATGCACGACAATGACATAGCATTGTTTCAGGTATGGTTAATAAATTCAATTCAATTTAGAATTCGATATGAGCCGTCGAATAGAAATCGTATTGCAAAAACTCGCCCACGCAAATCATTAATTACTCTGGGTGCGGTTTGTTTTGTTTTCCCCCGTTTTTTTTTTTTTCATTTTTAGTTGGCAACACGAGTGGCATTTCATGAGCATTTGTTACCGGCATGTCTGCCACCGCCTCATAAGAGAATCAAACCGGGAACCATGTGCACGGTGATTGGATGGGGCAAAAAAGAGGATGAAAAACGTATATCACCTGCTCTTTTTTCCATTCTTCTTTTCTTCATTCAAGTAGCAAATATGCTAATTGGTTTTTTTTCTCGCTTTTCTCATTGTATTTGCAGCAAGTACATCGTATGAGCCGACGGTGAATGAAGTCAATGTTCCTGTATTGAATCGTGATTTGTGCAACGAATGGTTGGTGCATTTAAATGTGACCGATGGCATGATATGTGCGGGATACTCGGAAGGCGGTAAAGATGCGTGTCAAGGTAGATTTATTTGTTCTTTTTTCAGCAAGAAATGACCAAAACGAACGAAAAAAAAAAATTATTCAAAATCCAACTAAACCATTTGCAGGAGACTCGGGCGGTCCATTGTTGTGTCGTGATTCAAACGATCGTGAACGATATTGGGTGGCTGGCATTGTATCGTGGGGCGTTAAATGTGCCAATCCAAAATTGCCCGGCGTTTATGCAAATGTCCCCAAGTATATACCATGGATCATGGAAAATATCCACAATTATTCCAATGTTCCCATTGAATATCCACGTTCAACTAACAGCAACAGCAACAACAATCGCAAAACGAACAAATCATTCCAACGACAGCATCGACAGCGGAGTTAAAAGTTCAAATTTAGAGAAGAATGAATCAAAAATGTTCAATATTTAAAAAAAAAAAAAAAAAAAGAAGAGAAGAGTTCAAGAGATTTAATTTTATGAAAGGAAACAAATTCAATCGAATTGCAACTAAAGACAATAATGAATGAATGAATCTAGTGCTGTTTCGATTTCCATTTTTGTATTTAAAAAAGAAGAAAAACAAACAAACAAATTTTATTGATAATAAGAATGTGTTCTTAGCGGAACGAGATTTTATTTTTTCTGATTCTTTTATATGCATTCAATTTGAGCGCTTTGCTCAATCGCCGTACGCAAACAAAAAAAGGATAATTCTTATAACGAATGACAATAATCTTGATGAAATAAGTCACTTATAAAAAAATATATATAAATCAAATTGATATCCACATGATGATTGAAAACGCAGACAATAATACAAAAAAAAAAAATATGCAAAGAAAAAGAGAAAGAGAGAGATAAAATCAAGAGAGAAAACTAATTGAACAAATAAGAAGAAAAACAAAACATATTTATGTATTTTTAGATAAGACATTTTTTGTGACACGTTTTTTTAAGATGACAATATATATACAAACATGTGAGGTAGACAATAAGACAAAGCAGTGTGTACATACACCGGAGCGTATCATATCAATCAAGAGATGAGCTCTCCATACTCTCTCTCTCTCTCTCTCTCTCTCTCTCTCTGTCTCTAGCTCACTCACTCATTCACTCTCTTTCACTATATCAGTTTCACTCGAGCGTGCAAAATCAATCCAAGTGGATTTTATCAATGAAAAGTGTTTGAAAAAAAAAATGAAAATGCAGAATAAAGCTTGTAGACAATAAAATCTAAGAAATTGACAAAAAGGCTTATGATTAACTTATAGAGTTATTTATAATTAAAATTGAAAATGAAGAGAGAAAAAACCACAACAAAAATTGAATTCCAATGATGATTTACCAGTGGTGAACTTTAACCACACACTCTTTATCTCATTCACACGCAACAAAGTCATACACACAAGCGTGTTTTGAACCATAGCGTAATATATTTTATACAGAGGAAATATTCGTAGATTTAGTCAAGTCTCTCTATTCATGTATAGCTTAAAAGTGAGACGGTGGCGATCCAACTGTGTGCAAACACAGAAACAAAATGTCTTTTGTGAAATGATTTTCTATGGCTTTGAAAAAGGTCAATGACCTATTCGATGAGTATCCTCTGTTGCAGAGGATTCCGTATGGAATGTTAACAACTTTTCCAATCATGTGTTTCGGGCATATTCACAACAATTCGATAAAGTGGACTAAAATTCCAGGATAAAACCAGACATAATACTATATTCAATCGTCCTCTCCAATCATCTTCCATTCTCAAGGCCAATTATTAGCCCAACAAATACACCACTTCGACCTTCACATTCAATGGATGAAATACTTTAATATTTTTGTTTTTGGTTCAATTCAGTTGTTGTCATCCAAGCTACCGACCGGGAAAGAAATTTGGTTTTATTTGATTATTGGCCAATGTTTATAACGAACATTCCACCTAGGGGCGAGACACGTGGAATAGGAATAGCCATTTAGCTCGAAAATAGTGAAATAGCGGTGGAATAGTAATTTGACTAATCCACACATAAGCGAAACACTGCATGGAATAGCGGGAATAGTGATTTGACTAATCCGTACATAAGCGAAACACTGCATGGAATAGTGGGAATAGTGGGAATTGCGGAAAGTCGGTTTTGAAGGATTCCAGTTCTAGAGTAAAAAAAAACTTCTAGAAATTTAGTTTTTATTATCATTTATTGTTACGGATCACTGTCTGATAATCATAAAAAAAATCGTATACTACTGGTTTCGCTGAAGGCATTTCAAACTTAGCCTAAAACTAGGCAAAACAAATATAGAAGTCAACTACAAACATTCTGGTCGACAACACAGTTTTAAATTTTGCAATTTGACATTTCGTTTGACGGAATAGTGGAATAGCGGGAATAGCGTTTTTAGTATAGTGGAATAGTGGGAATAGTATGTGTCTCGCCCCTAGCATTCCACACCAAAGCTCATAAGATTTTTATTAAAGCGCTTGCCCAATATAAAACACAGTATTAAAGTACCGGCGAAATATTCAACTTGTAAAAATGCATGATCACGTAGAGCCTCTAAAAATTGTTAAAATCAAATTGTTAAACGTCTTAAAAATACACTTAAACCCTTTAAATCACCATGGAACATTAAGGATCTCATTTTTTCGTCAAAAAATGAAGATGCACAAAATTTGAAGATAATTAAATGACAGAAAAGGCAATTTCTGGCTTAACAATTTTAACAATTTAACAATTTTTAGAGGCTCTAATGATCAGTTTCTATCAATATTTGAATGAATTTTTTTTTGTAATAACTTCAAGATGATCAAACTCTTTTTGTTAAAATGAATGAAATCTGACATATCGTTCGTGATCTCTCCATAACGAATTTTGACCTCTCCTCCGAATTAAATGAAATCGAATTCTCGATTCGAATCACTGATATTTATTAATCGAAGCAAAAGCACAGTCGTTTGATGTTAAAATAGTTGTCTACGTTCTGTTGTGCTATCAAACGAAATATGCATATCTGTGAACCACGGACTGCGGTTTGAGAATAAAAAAAAAGAAAAATCATTGACATTTTCAATTCAAAGTTCAATTCATGTCCCCAAGAGTTTTTAGCCACTTTTTTGATGTTGTTTTCTTTTCGAACGTTGCAACAAACCAAACTGTTTCATATCAATAAGAATTTGTGATTCAACCATGAAATTAACATCGATTTAAAAAAAGAAAACAATAATAATTGTCCAATTCATGCTCAATCACTTAATTGATTTCTCAATTTTCTTTTTGGAAATGAATAGAAAATGATTTATTTTTTTCAGAACACAATAATTCGAGTAACTCAAATAGAAAAACATAAAAAAAAGACAAAGGATAACTATGAACTTTGGACAATAAATGGAAAAAAATATTGAGAAAATAATCGAAAATTGACAAGAAAATTGGCCGACAATAACTGTTCAAATCATATTCAATAATAATTAATTTCAAATATCGTTCGTTATATCAAATTGGTCTGTTTTGACTGGAATACATTGACACTTGAGCATTTTTTCTCCCTTAAACACATATGTACACAATAGAGTGTTCTTTTTCGGAACTAGCGCCAACCGTTCTCGGGTCGTGGCGAAGCAAAATAAATTCTTAAAAGGCCTTTCTTAACTGTTTCAACAATTTTCTCAAATTGTCAAATTTGACAGCATATTCTGCTTTGCCACCACCCGTAAATTTGTACGGATGGCTTTAGTACCGAACAGGAACTCTCTGATACATAAAACAAATTTTAGTGGGAGTTGATCAGCGAATAAATATTGATATCGATGGATTTTTCATTTGTAAACAACACATTCAGAGAAATACGCTCAAAGGCCACAATAATCATGAGCCCAGTTTATTTTAATTGAATGGAAGAATAATGAAGATAAGAATTCCGTTCGACGCAAAGTAAGAAGTGGAATGAAAGAAGAAGAGAAAAAAAAACGAGAAGAAGCCGCAGAAGAAGATAAAGAGATAGATGAATGAGATGAAGAGTGGGCAAAAACGATAGAAGCACGACAATAAAGCCCAAATAATTGATAAAAACAGTTGCACAAAACCAGTGAATTTCACCGAAATATTTTGATCGGCATTGATTTTAAAATCCATATAATATAAAAAGAAACCATATCCATGGAAACTTTGGCTATGAAACCAATAATCAAGGCATATTTATTTAAATAAATGTTGACAATATTCTAGAGATTTATAAATGAACCACACACAAATGGTCGAACAATGTTTGCGGAGCAAAACAGAAATAATTTAGCACATAGCACTTAAGATTTTAGATGTTAAGAAGTGTTAAGCATACAAATAGAGAAATGAACGTTATTATTACATAAGGCATACACACATATTATTGAAATAAGAGCACATCAATTCAAATGATTTGTTTTTTTTTTTTGGTTTTTACTTCAGTTTTGCCAACCTCAAAATGTTTGCCCACATTTTTTTTCGATTTTATCATAAGGAATCACTTTGTGAGCTACATCATTTCAACGCTTTTTTTTCTTCGCAAAAACAAAAGGAAATACGATGAAAATCCATCTGAAAAAATGAAAATCTTTACGACATTTATTTGGCTTGAAAACCATTTTTTGAACAATCTTTTTGTTTCTTACCTAATCCCATAATCACAGTCCGGATATCTAAAATTGTTCGAGTCTAAAATTGACCATTCTGTTCTATTTTGACTCCATCGATAATTCTTAACATGTTACAATGCAATTAGCACACCTATCCACACACACACACACACACAACACAAACGAGTACTCACTAATTGTTAATTTAAAGAGAAATAAAAAAAAATCTAAAATAATAAAATATAAAACAGAGAAATGCGAGGGTTTCAGCTTTAATAAATTAATTTAGATATGTAAGAAAGCCAGAATCAACAAAATGCACACACTTTACTAAACAAACAACCAAAAATTATTTGTTTTAGATTTTAAATGAACAAATCAAGAGTATAATCAAATGTAATCACTTGAATTAAAACAAAACAAAAAATGAAAATTAGTATATAGGTTTTGAACTGCGAGTAGTTCAACAAGATGTGCTTTCCATGTGCGTGTGCCACCCACCCAAAATGTAATTTTGATTTTAGACACAATTCATTGTTTTATTTCTCTAGACGCTTCCAAGCAAAATTTTCCGTTAGTTTGATTTCCGCGCAAATGCATTGCTTTTTGTTTGGCGCATTAGCATAGAACTACCACTATTTTATACATCACCTGTTTTAACTTTTAAAATGTACACACACCCATTGGTCATAATCCATTTTTTTCAAATAAGAAAAATCAATTTGAAAGCTATCGATTCGCATATTGAATCAGCTCGTCTGCATCTTCGTGACAATAAAACGACAAGTTCAAATGTGTTGTTTCTTCCCAATCCCCAAATTCACTCACTTCAACACACTGTGCAGTGAACGAACACATATAGAACTGCGTAGATTTATGTGAAATGTTAGTCGATTAGAGACAATTATTTTAAAAAGTAAACAAATGAAAATGCATTTATTCAACACTTTTACTCATACACATACACATTACACAGCTTCCATAAGTGTCCTTAACAACACTAACTTATTCAAATTTAATTTTATTTTATTTCATTTTTTCGGGTCTTTGTTGATTTTTTGATTTTTTTCTTGATTTTTTTTTTCGTGCTGTCGATGAAGTCTTACTTTTTTTTATTAATTTCAATCAATATCAGTGTTTGATCTTTCCTTTGCGTTCTTTTTTAACTTTTTTTTCCTTTCTTTAGAGTTATTGGTCGCTCGACTTGATTCCTATATAGTTACTTATCTTATTTTACTTATAAAAACACGTTTGGCATCGATATTTTCTTCAAAAATAGTTGAAAATTCGTTATTTTTGTGTTTTGCCTTACAAAGTATTGCTGTTTCAACCAAATTCAGTGGTGGATGTTTAAGGCAAATTTATTTCACAGTTCGCATTTGTTTGCTCATTTTAAAATTTCATACACAGAGAGAAATTAGGTTGATCCAACTTTTTGTAATTTTGAATGGTTGCAAACTTTACAACCGCCATATGAAAAAGTTGCTTTTTGGCATATTCCAAATGTCATCTGTAATCGTACCAACCTAATTTCTCTCTGTGTAATAAATAATTTCAGTTTTTCCTCTCTTTTAGGAATAATATAATGAATTCATCATAATTATGAAATGTCTTTCACTTGTTTTCGTTTCATCTTGTTTTTCTGATGTTATTTTTTGGATTTAATTTCCATTTTTTTTTATCTCAAATTTTCTTTATCTTTCCCCTTTTGGCTTTTTTCTTTTTCTTTTTATTTTCATGTTTCTTTTGATTTCAATTCACCTTTTTGTTTTGAAATTTTCACAAATATCGTTTCAAAAATCACCAAATGATCAAGACAAAGGCATGTCAATTGTACACACAAAGCACAAGAGAAATGATGTCACAAAATGTATAGAGAACAGACGAATAAACAAGAGACAAATTCGACGGATTTTGGTCAATTAAAGTATCTTGGCTCCCTACGAAAATCAATCCAATTAACTAAAGAACAATTATATGGAAAATAAAACAATTACTAGTTTGTAAGTAGAAAATGGCGCAGAAGGAGAGACACCGGACAATCACAATGTGTAATGAATTAAAATCGAATACGTTTGCACATTGTCACTCAATGAAGCGTCATGACGTAAATACGATTTGGTTCTACACACATTGTGTCTCCGGCGACAAACCGAGCAAGAAAAAGAGTTAGTGAGTGAAAGTGCGTGCGATAAATCATATAGAGTTGAGCTTTTTACTTAAGTACTATTTTAGTGAAATAAGGCTTTTGAACGGTGATCAATTGATGATGTGTGTGCGAGACGCGTCACGCCTCACTCAAATTACTGTCCAAAAAATGAAAAAAAAAACCATATAAATATATCTATTTTTAAGAGCTTCGTTTCCGAATGTGGTGTGGGTGCACATTGATGTATGTGGCTCATTTCGTTTCTTCCTTTGCAAATTAAACTAAATTATGTTCTGTGCTTTAATATTGAATGCATGAATGAGACAATGTGCTAAAACAATTGAATTATGACACACAAACAAAAAACGTAGACATTTATAGGTAGTAGCATATGCATGCAAACTAATGCGCACACTTAACAACAATTTAGTTGAATAAGTAAAACAGTGACAAGTACTATAACATTAGGCGATAGATTTTGTTTTCCACAAAACTTCCAACCAAATTACGTGACTGTTGCTCAATCGGCGGACACTTCTGTTTTTTTTTTTTATCATCACACGAGCACGATGTGTGTGCACCGCACAAAGAAACATGTGGCCGTAAATTTATTTTAAATGTTTCATTTACACAATTTTAATGGACGAAAATGAAATCGAACGGTATTTTTTCCTATCACATTTTACATCAAATCAAACGAATCAGTGCAAAATCATTTTCACAATGACATATGAAACGTGATTGGTGTTTGCAATGGATATTTTGATTTTTTCTTTTCGAATTAAACATACCAGATTTTAGACATGATGAGAGACAAAATCCTCATCAAGTAAAACTGTACATGGAAATATGAAGTACAATTGTGATGTTTCAAATAGATATACGGGATGATCAGCGAATGATGGAGCAACAGTGGAATATATATGTTTCGGATGTGTGACGTTAAGCTGGCTACACATTCGGAATTCATTATTACCTTATAGAGACACAGACAATAAATCCATACATCATTCTTAGTAGTGCTTTAACATCCATTAGATTCTATGCAATCCTCGCTTTTCACCCGTTCCAGCATTGAAATATGAATGTTGGCAAACTCAAATATCGTTATCGCTCTGCCCTCAAAAGTACATAGAATAACAAGAAAAAAAACGTACAGTTTTCAAAACCAGCAGGGGCCAGTTCATTTGAGATCAAATTCGCTGATTTTTGAAAAAAAATATTGGGAAAGAGACAAGAAATATGTCGAAAAGGCGATTTCAACACTAAATTTAACGCTGGTTTGAGCGCGGATTTGAGCTTTGTTTTAAATTCTACTTTGAAGCATATGCACCGGCGTGTGCAATGCACACCGTGACGTCAATGACATCTGAATAAAATAAAATAGGCCAAAAGAGCATGCGGCAAGAGTGCATCGCTCGTTTTCAACATAAAATATTCAAAATAATCTTACCGTTCCTATTTGAACTAATTATTTGGCGTCTGAGCCAGTTCAACTGACAGCGATATACTTTCAAAAAATGGACAATTGCTTCAGGTTATTTGGTTGGCAACCAATATTTGCCAAACTTACACGTTCCACCCAACTGTCTGTCGTCATCAGTGCTGATGGCGTGTGTTCTAGTATAGTCAAATTCAACCGATGCATGATCACAATTTGCATTGGCCCAAAACTATAATCTAATAACTCAGCGATGCACGTCACCAGTTAATCGGCTGGTGCGCGCCATGCACACACGGTGTAACTGATAAACCATATACACGAGTCACAGTATGCTTTGATGCATATTCGCAACAGCGAATGTTTGACCGAAGTCGCAACTGGTCAAATGTACTGTGTACCAGCCGATTAACTGGTGACGTACATCGCTGAGAATAAATGTGTTAATAGGTCACTTAAGGCAATTTCTTTCGTTTGACAACTGTATTAAGAAAATTCTCTGGCATCAGACAAAGAGACAAACAAAAAAAGCTATTATGACATCTAAAAAAAACTGTAAATAATATGGATGAAAAACAAATTTCCGATGACTGAACGGCCTAATAATTAAATTATGATGACAATTTGGACCGCCTGCAAGTGGTTCGAATTGAATGGAACTCTCTGTGTACACATAATCTCATTTCTTTCCTTTTCATTCATCGAATTTCGGCTGATACACATGCTCGATTCATTACCCGACAAAGGAGCCTACAACCATTCGAATGTCGAGCACAAAACACTTTGTTCCGCGCATGAAATTTGATGATTTTTCTTTCTGTTCATTCTAAAATTCGCATTTTATTCATGAATGAACTGTATTTTGCAAACCAGATAAATGAAGTAAAACTATATTGGCAGTCCGATTTCGGACATGATATTTTCCACATTTTATACAGAATAAACATAAATATATACATTACGAGCATTTGTTCAACGGCATAAGACAATAAACAATACCAATCACTTAATTTGATACACAAATGTTGGTCTAGAACAGAATAGCATTTCTCATTAAGCTCCTGATCGTCAGGATACACACAAAACAAATAAATTATCAATAATCTATTAGTATTTAGATGTTCAGTCGATCACAACTAATGTTTTGGTTTTTTTGTTGATCGCGCTATTATAAACTGTCAACAAGAGATATTTTGGGTGACATGATTGATGAACGTTCAATTTAGTAGTTTATGTGCATTATTTATTTATGAACGAAAGAAGAAAGAAAACAGCACTATTTTTTCCTTTGGCTTTTTCAAATGGGGTACGGAATTTTCGGCACTGTAACATATATTTTATAAACGTTGTGCTTGCTTATATAAAAGACTACCGAATTTAATGTGTAGCATTTGTTTTGTATCCAAAAAATATGCAAAGCATTTCAACACAATTATTCCATTTATATCGGCATCGAAGGAGAAAAAGAAAAATTCTTTTTTTTTCTAGTTTTTCGTAAGCTTCATCATTTCTAGACGATTTTCCTATTTTTTTTTTCTTCCTTTTTTCAGTTCTTTCTTGTTTGTCTTTTGTTTTCTTCTGTTTTTTTTCTCTTGCTTTTTTATGAAAATGTGTTTTTTTGCCGAAGTATTGATCCAACTTTGGAGGCATTTTCACTTTCTCTTCAAAATCATCTAAAAAATGTTTTATTTTTCAATAAATTGATATGATCAAAGTTCTGAGTTTGTTTGTGCTTCTTCTTTTACAGCTGATCTCTTTCGGAAAAGACGAAAAATAATATGAAAAAAATGATTTAAAACTTGAAAATGTGAAAGTTCACAAGAAAATCAGCAACACAACAGACGAAATTGGATTATTTTTGCACTATTATCAATTTTTTTCTTCTATTTTTTGACTCAATTCGTTCAGAAAAAGCTTGAACTTTCAATAACTAGTCCTTCTATTAAATGTTCAGGTATAAGCCGAATAGAATTGAATAATTGTTGTGAATATGTCTTTGTTAAAGGCGATTGCTTGTGCGACAAATCATAAAATTTAGTTTTAAGCAAAAAGAAATAGTTTTAGACAAGAGTTTGCTTGAAGTTCAAAGGGAAACCAAAAATGCCGCTTATGCGAAACAAACCTACAAAAAGAATTATAACCATAACGTACTCATGATTGTTGAATTAAAACTACTAAAAGAAAAACTATGTGTTATTGTATTAAACAAATTGTAGATATTATGAAAGCAGAACAACAACAAAAACCGCATGACAATAATCAGAAATGAATTAGGCGTATTATATCTAGGAAGCTTTAGTGATACACATTATTATATGCATGAAAAAAAAACCAACACAACTTATAAGCACTCAAAACACATATACACTGTATTTGAATCTGGAACTAAAACCACATTCATAAGCCTGACAATTCTTATGACAGTAAAACGAAAAAGAGATACTTTTTTGTTGGCTATGGATTAATCCATTTCGAGAGGAGATTTGTATTTTTTGAGGCGTGCCAATTAGGGTTAACTCGCCTCTCACAAAGATGCTCGTTTTTTTTCGTTGATGAAAAACTGTTTTTTTTTTTTTAGAAAAAGGCTTCATACATGTATGTTGCAATTATGCTGCTTATAACCAATTGTTATCCACACACATGCACATTCTCTAAGCTGATTTCATTTCTCAACCAGAATTTAAACTAGAAGAAGAGAAAGAAAAAATGAATCATTTCGATCTTTGCCATTTCTTATGATTATGAAAACAAAATTGATGAACAAAAAAAAGAAGAAGAAGAAGGAGATGAATCCAATCGGTATAAAAAGTAAAAAAAAAACTCATGTTAATCGTATATTTAATTTATCTATAGGTATTATCATATGCATGGTAAGGACTCAGACGTCATAATAAATATTAGTTGCCCTACGCTGTGTGCTCAGTGTCAATGTGCGTGATAATGACGATATGACAATAACTTACAACATTTATAATGGTAATAAAGAATTAAACAATAAGCAAACCCATACAATAATATGAAAACAACCACAATTAAACCAGTTTGAAACCTTAATGTGCGTGTATCAGAAAAAAAAAACTTAAATGTAAGTGAAACACACCCTAGCATTTGTGTATTTAAAAAACAAAATGAAGAACACAAAAAAATTTAATATAAAAATTTAGTAGTTAATGGAATCGATAGAAGATTCAAATCATTTTTGAAAATGTTCTCGATATCAATTGGAATGAACGAAGACAAACAGAGAAAACAAGTCCTTTTGTAGATGGCAAAAGTAATATACAGTGTATACAGATTTATATATTTGTCAGGTGAACCGAACACTATCCACTCTTTATCAATTTAACCAGTTGATTTTGACACTTTGACAAACCAATTGTAACCGATCAGACAAAGAAAAATCTAATTGCATGACAGCAACCATTTATGTGTTTGATGTTAGACGGAAAATGAATACAAAAAAAAAACAACAACATTATTATACTATCTATACAAATAAATATACATATTATGTCAGCAAGAACAAATCGGAGTTTTCTTTTCCTCTTTCGATTTTTGCATTGCTTTTTAGATGTATTTTTATTATGGGGACGAAATAGCACCAAGTTTTAAACTTGGCCAATTCGCGATTTTGACATTACATATTCAGTTTTATTGTTTTTAAACATTGGTAAGAATTTCATTTTCAAGTCTTCAGTACCTTTGTCTTTCAGTCACTGTCAATGAAGCAGCCGAATACAGAAGAAATATGACCATTGCTTGGGTTTGCAGTTGTGCAATTTGCAGAATTTTATTATTGAATTGAATTGAATTTTATTGCACCGCCAAAAAACTGGCTGAATATGATTTAAATTTAAATTTATACAATATAATTTACATCAGTTGTTTGTATTTACATTTTCTCTTTGAGATGACAACACTTTCGCAAGGTTAAATTTAAATGAATCTCTGGTTTGAGCAGAGTTTACAATACTTATAAAATTATTTATATAACGTACTAATCGTGCAATAGGCTGCTGACGCAAATAATCAGTATCAAATAAAGGTTCGCTTAGTACTCTGTTATTTCTTAAAGAGCGACGATTTTCAAGCCTTACAAATTTAGAGCTAATAAATGTATCATTAATATTGTTTTTAAAAATATCGTAAGCAAGAGTTGCATCAGCAATTTCTCTACGCAAATCTAACGATTGTATTTTCAGTTGCTTACATCGATCAAAATAAGGAGTAAGTCTGAATGAAGTAGCGTTACGTCTATTTTCTAACAAATAAATAACAAATTGTTTTTGTATCGATTCGATGTCCCTGATATAAATATCCTGATATGGGCTCCATATAACTGAAGCAAATTCTAAAATAGGCCTAACATGAGCCAGATACAATATCTTTTGTGTTTCGTATGTAAAGTTGCCATTTGAAAAATGCTTAATACAGCCAATCATGCGCCTCGCTTGTATTGTTTTTTGTTCGATGTGATGACCAAAGTGAAGCTGCTTATCAATCAAAACGCCGAGATCGCGAATCTCTTCCTTTCTCTCGATTAAGTAGTCTCCCATGGTGTATGTCGTGATGATGGATGACTTTTTACGACAAAGTGTCAAAATCGCACATTTTTGATTGTTGAAAAATAGTCGATTGGCGTTACACCAAAACATGAGTTTATCAATATCATTTTGAAGGTGATGCGTGTTGTTTGACATGGTATTGCCTCGTATTTCCAATGCTATTTTGATGTCGTCTGCTAACAGCAGCACGGTAGACTTTTCAACAATGGCACTTATGTCGTTTATAAACATGGTGAACAAAACTGGCCCCAGAACACTTCCAGCAGGCACACCAGATGGTGACGGGTATGATCTGGATTTGGACTGGCCAATCATCACAAAATTGAAACGACCGATGACAAAGTCGCATAGCCATCTGGCGGTTTTACGACCAATTTTGAAGTGAGCAATTTTCTCGATGAGTTTTCGATGCCATACGCGGTCGAACGCAGTTTTAAAATCTCCGTAAAAGACATCAAGTTGCGTTTTCTTGCGAAACACATCGTGCGCTAATATAGACAGGCTCAGTAAATTCGTTGTAACAGAACGCTTTGTTCTGAATCCATGTTGTGAATTCGATAATTGTGGGTCAATGATAGCACTCAACTGGTGCTTGATTGATAATTCAAAGATTTTCAGAATGACTGAACTGATTGCTATCACACGGTAATTTGTGACATCCTCTTTGGGGCCTTTTTTGTAAACTGGCACAACTCTCGACAGCTTGAGCAGATACGGAATAGTACCAGCATCAAATGTTTTCTGGTACAAAAGCCATATTGGCCAAACAATGGCGTCGATACATTGCTTGATGACAAACGGTGATATCTCATCTGGTCCAGCACCACTATGCCACTTTAAAGAGTTAATGGCTAGTTCGATACTTGTCAATGACACATTGATTTCAGTAAAATCAGCACTCTCTTGAAATATTTCGTCGAAATTCCAAAGTTGTTCATCAGCTACATAAATTGTCTCGAAGTAATCTGCAAACAGTTGAACAATATCATCAGGTGAATCAGCCGTGGCATTATTGTTGTGCATTTGATTTGGATACGTAGCTTGTTTGTTGCCAATTTTCGCAAATTTCCAAAATTCTGCTGGATTCGATTTGATATTATTTTGAACACCAGCAATGTATTCACTATGCAGTTTATCGTTCAACTCATTGAAATCACGACATGCATCGATGTATTCTGTTGTTTGAATGCCTTTCGGTTTACGCTTGAACGATTTATCTCGTTGATTTTTCTTATGCTGCAACTCATGAGTCCACCATTTAGGCTTGTTAGGGTAATTGGTTACCAAAACCTTTGGTATATTGTTCTCTGTGAGTGTTTTCATGGTGCAGTGGAAGAAGTCAAACGCTGAATGAACATCGCGAATACTAAATTCGTGTTGAAAATTTATGCACTCAATCTGTTGACAAAGTCGTCGATAATTTCCACGAGAGTATTTGAACACTAATTTGGGTTCAGCACGTATCATTGATCCAACTTTGGAATATTCAAATTCGATGGCGTACGGTTTATGATAAACATCTTGTTGGCTCTCATCAACGAGTGTGTGTTGGTCGACACTCAATTTGACTTCACACGAACTGTTCACAAATAGTAAATCCAACACATTCGAAGCTATATTTTCAATGTTTGAAATTTGATACAGCGGCAGTCCGAGAATTTCAGTCAAAAATGTATTCGCGTTTTTCAAATAGATAGATCTTGTTTCTATTGAAATGATAGGCTCGTAGCAATTTTCAGCTTCATTTGCAGTCCATTGGATATCTTTCAAGTTGAAATCACCCAAAACCATCACTTGGTGGGCAGGAAAGCGATTCATGAGTGACTTGATATTTTCAAAATGTTTGATGGCGATGTCAATATCGAAGATTTTCATGTAACATAGGTACAGCAGAATTGGTGTTGGCTTCAGTATAACTTCAACCGCTACCGCTTCACAATCTGGATCATCGGGTAAAATTCTGGATCATTGCTTCACAATCTGGATCATTGCTTGGGTTTGCAGTTGTGCAATTTGCAGAATTTTATTATTCGAATAGCATTAGCTATCACAGCTATTATTGCTTGCAACAATCATTCAAATTGTTTCATTTCATTTTGTTCTGTTGTAGTTGGGAGAAAATGGTAGAAAAAACTGATGCTAGGAGATAATCGAACGAAATAATTCCAAACCGGCAAATTGTATTGACATCGAGTTTTATTGTTAGCTGAGCTGAATCAGCTCTGACTCTGCTATTCATTATATACACACACGGAAGAAAAGTTTAGATATTCGCTACGCCATATGTGTATGTTATGTCATTGATGAGAATAAGTGTTTTTACGTAAAACGTAGCACATAGCACGTAGCTGTCTCGCCAGAGCTAGCAAATAATTCAAAATCAGGACCAGGCAATACAGCCATCATTCGCTTTTGAATAGTCGAATCATTCGAATTCAATTGAGCCTAATCGAAAAACAAAACCATTTCAAACACCATTTTTTAATACTATTCATACAATGTTGTGTTTATGAGTCAAAATATCAAAGTTTGTTTGCACGTGCGACCGATTCAAGTTCCACTTTCATAATCACTGGTGATAGAGAATCCAGAATTTGATTTCAACGATTCATTTGTTACTTCAATTTACAGTCCATTTCGTATTAGTGCCCGTTTGTCTATTGTCATATGGCAAACAAGGTACACAGATGATAAAGTATAACCGGTCCACTATCAACACTGCATATTGTCTGATCAATACCATAAATGGAAATTTTATTCTAGATGGTTTCAATAAGAAAGTGAAAGTTCGGTAGTGATGAGAGAGTTCAAAACGTATGAAGAAAGGGTGAATGATTTTATTTTGAAACCAATGTGTCCAGAACGCATAAAAACAGTGTTGCATAAGCTAAGGGATGGACACGAATAGCATATTAGTAAATATTAGAACTTATTAGAAACATTTGACAGCATTGAAAGTACACGTTATATGAAAAATATTAGAAATATTAGTAAAAATTAGAAGAAATTAAAAACCGTGTCTACCCCCTAGTGCATAAGGCTGTTATCGCATAAATATCGCGCGATAATTTTCTGCTTGCGTTGCATATGTATATGATAACAGCCTTATGCGATACTGTTTTTATGCGTTTTGGACACATTGTTTGAAACCAATTCAAAGCTTATCAGCTAGCATGGTTTTCTTGCTACTTTCCTTCTTCGCATCAAACAATGATGCATATCATAAAATGCATTTTTTTCCATTTTTCTTCATTTCAACTTCACTGTTTGCATTTTAAGTCGTCGTTGGAACGAAAGCAAACACTTTATTTTTTTTTATTGAGAAAAAGAGTAAAATCATTAAAAAATGTTTTTTCAATATTTATTTTTACAAAGAAAATGGTTTTATTTGATCACTACGTTTGATCGAATGTTGTAAGATTTCTATTTCGGCAATGAAAATCTATCTATTCAAATTACGAGATGATGTACATGTTCAACCACTACCGATCTTTTCGATCCAAATATTTTGAATATGCATCTTAAAATCACTGCTGCCACAATTAGAATGACAATATACGATATGATCAAAAAGAGATCGGGATTAATGTCCAAACCCATGTTGCATTGAAGTACGAGTAGATTTAGTTTGAATCGGTCGAAAAAACTTGCTTCATTATATTTGGCAGACTGTCTTGTTATTTTTACCGTAGCACACCATAATTCGAATCCAATCGCTTGGCCCCTGAAATTCATATTTAAAACAATTGAGGCTGTGAGAATGAAAATGGCAATACAGGAATAAACATTTTGAAAAGCATCAAGAAAAAAAATTCGCAAAAATGAATCATGAGTTGAACTCGTGAGCATAAAAACAACGTATTGACTCTTCGCCGATGAATACGAAACGCAAAAAAACCGCCGAACAAAGTGAAACACCAATCTGTTATTGGATCAATATGAAGCATGAAATCGTTGACTACTATTTTATTCACGTTGCGCTTTGTTTCGAAGCGCGGCAAGTGTTTCATTTTGTTCCAGTAACAGAACGTTGTATCACTTTGTTCGGCGACGCGCTCAATGTACTGTTTTGGAAAAATATGCATGATTTGATACAGTTTTGAGTCCATTGGTATGATGATTCATTTTAACACAACACCCATTCTATTTCGCTCACACTTACGTGCACTTTAACGTTGCTGAAACATGTACGTTCTTGTTTCTTTACTGCGCACATCTTTTTAACAGTAAAGCAGACTACTTTGTTATACGGGCAAAAATTGCACGTAAGTGTGAGCGAAATAGAATGGGTGTTGTGCGTCCGTGTTTTGGCCATGTATAGATTTCACTATATAAACCAATGTATTCACAGCGGCGTGAACCCGCGTTCCGAGGATTTCATACAAACTTCCCATGTAGACGATCCGAAATAGGCAACAGTCGAGAAAAAAAGTTTAATTTTTTTTTCGATTTTCATATAGTATTTTTTTCTGCTCTATTGATGTTATCGGCACATCGAAATTCGCGCTACTTATCAGTTGATTTTCACTTCATAGACAAATCACGACCAAAACCACCATTAAAATGAATCATCATACTAATGGAATCAAAAGTGTATCAAACATTTTTGTTTCAATTAAAGTGAAACACAATTTCTATAGTCAGCCGATATTTCACGATTCACTTTCAAGCGAACAGAATTTATGTTGCACTCGCACAAAACTGTATCAAATCATGCATATTTTTTTCAAAACAGTACATTGAGCGCGTCGCCGAACAAAGTGATACAACGTTCTGTTACTGGAACAAAATGAAACACTTGCCGCGCTTCGAAACAAAGCGCAACGTAAATAAAATAGTGACCAACGATTTCATGTTTCATATTGATCCAATAACAGATTGGTGTTTCACTTTGTTCGGCGATTTTTTTGCGTTTCGTATTCATCGGCGAAGAGTCAATACGTTGTTTTTATGCTCACGGGTTCAGTTCTGAATATGCAAAAGTGAAACATGAATTTACATGGGCAGCATAGGAGGTTCATGGTTCACTTTTGCGTATTCAGAACTCATGATTCACTTTTGCGAATTTTTTTTTCTTGATGCGTTTCAGAATGTTTATTCCTGTATTGCCATTTTCATTCTCACAGCCTCAATTATTCATTTGATGTTGCAAAGCAAATAGAAAATTCATAAACCAGTCACATACAGATCATTCCAAAAATCACCTGAAAGGAGGACAAAAAATGCAGAAATTAACAACCCAAATAACACACTATGGACACACGGTTCCAAAGACAAAATGAATAATACCTTTGGCGACGGCAACACAACACAACACAAATGTTAAAATCAACTTCATTTTTCCACAACTGTTTGATGCTTTGTTGAACAAATTAATGGCAAATGGTTTCCTTTTAAGTAGGCCTGAATCAATAGCTCTTCAAATGTTGAAAAATAAATCAATAATATGAACAACTAATTTTGTGTGAGCGATTTATTTATGAGACAACTAGACTTTGTGCACAAAATATCACAATAAATTGTTAATTTACAAAGTCCACAGACATCAATCGGTACTACTGATTCAGTAGTTTCCATTTAAGAGGGAATCCATGTGCGATAACTTAAAGGGGAGCAAGATAACTGATTTTATTTTTATGAAATCTGTTCAAAAGTAATCAGCTGAGTACTTATCAGTAAGAGCAAGATTATTTTTATTGCTAGTTCGCTGCTTCGCACCAAACTATAATATCTATGGGTGTAGTAGCGTATGTTTGATTGACTTTGTATTGATTATATTTGTGATTTTAAAAATCAGATTATTTTTTTAACAGATTGCTCAATGTTAAGTCGTAGAGATTGATAACAAACAGTGTTAGTAGAGTTAGACAAGATCGCCAATTTTCAATCGACCATTCAGCATTCCTCATCATTCAAAAAATGCAGAAGATAACGCAAACGAAACATATTCTATTTTTATACACAATGTGTTGAAAAAAAAAACGTTCTTCACTCTCAATTTCACCCATATGTGCAGTGATGACTTCATGTACTTCATGGAATAGAGAAAAGGTCACTTATTACCGATTTTTCTTCATTTCAACTGCACTTTTTGCTCTTTCGAGCCATCGTTGGAACGAAATCATGAACATTTTTTACCCTTTGCTCTGGCCTGAAAATTAAATTCGGTACGAAAAGGAGTTGAATCATTAAAAAGAGTGTGATTTTCTGCAATATTTGTTTTAACAAACAAAATGACTTTATTCAGAGAAGCTTGACTGTTACAATATTCGATTTGATGTTAGAATCTACATTTGATCAAATGTTGTCAGACTTATATTTCGGCAATGACAATCTATTGATCGTAGGTCATTGTATTTCGTACTGTAATCACGTCGGGTTTTTCCGATTCAGAGGACGTTCTGTACTTGCGGTTAGAAATTATCACAAGTATCCTGATCAACAAGTATACCAAACATGCAATGATCAAATACGATACGTACAAAAAGAGATCGCGATCCATGCGCAAACCAATGACGCACTGAAGTGCATTCAGATGAAGTTTAAATTGTTCGTAATATCACATCCAATTCACCACTCCTTATCAGCTCGGTCCCTAAAATTCATATTCAAATCGACATTATTTGTTTGACGTTTGATCAAAAATTCATAATTCAGTCGCTTACGAATCATCCGAAAAGTCTGCAATGAAATAGAACGATGAAAGAAAACGCAGAAATTAGCAACTTTTGAAATAAACCAAAATATTCTAAAGACGAAATGAATGAAAGCCGGTACCTTTGACGATAGCAACACAATACAATGCAAATGTTAGATTCAATTTCATTTTTCGCACAACAAATCGACAGGAAATTGTTTTTTCTCTTTCAAAGTAGGCATAAATCAATAGATGTTTGAATCATGAAAAAAAATCAATTAAAACCATTAACAAGATTTTGTATGGGCGATTCATCAGGGAGACCGGGAGACCTTTTCAGTGCTGAACATTATCGGCTCGTATTTTATACATTTTACGAGTTTCGGCTTCGCTTATACACAAAGTCTCGGTTCGCTAGCTATGTACAACCTTTGTAACTTGTATTCGCATCAATATAGACGAATCCGTAACTGATGAATTGTATAAAGTACCTCCCGATTTTCTGGCAATGTGCAACACCGAGTAGTGCACAAAATATCACAATAAAAGAAAAAAACCGTCACTCACCACTGAAAGTGTTCCCCTCTCACTTTTACATCGAAAATGTGATACTAATCAATTGATACCTGTTGTCAAAATCACTCTGGCATGCGTCATTCACATTACTGCTTTTACTGTTTGTGGTGAAGAGTGTGGTGAGATTGGAAGCACCATAGATTTAATATACATTTTATATTTGGAAGTTTCCGTTGAACCGACAATAAAACACGAATGGGATTTCATTCAAAATCCTATTCCAATGGGCATTTTTTATTGAAATAGCATTTTTGTAGTTCATCGTTGTGTTCATAGTGGGATTTTGAATTGCGACTTTTCGAAAACATACGAAATCGTGCTAATACAAACGTGCTCTATGATGCTCAAAACTGAACCACTCAAGTACAATCCAAGTAAACCACATTGCCAGGAAATCCGTTTACGATAACTAAAAGCGTAAGTTAAGTTGCCTTTAACTGATTTTATTTTGAATTCAATTCAAAAAATATCGGCTGGGTTCTTATCAATAAGAATAAGATTATTTTTCTTATTGCTAGTTCGCGTCTTTGCCTAATCTCAGTGGGTAAGATTGAGAGTAGCGTATGTTTGACCGGCTTTGTATCGAAAAAAGCAGAGCATTTTTTTAAGGGGTCAAGAGATCTTGATGTGATTACTTTATTTCGATAAAAATAGATTTATCGTCTTTGTAAAGACGTAGAGTTGGATAGAATGCTGGACGAAAAGTGCAAGTACAGTCAAGCAAGATAGCCAATCTTCAGTCACCAATTCAGTATTCGTTGTCATTAAAATGTGAAATGCAGAAATCCAGATGCGAAAAATACTCTTCTTTATCACACAATAAGTGAGAAAAAAACTTACTTTACTCTCAAACTCACCCATTGGTGCAGCGATGACTTCATTCACTTCATGAAATGTAGACATGAACGTGATTTTTTACCATTTTTCTCCATTTCAACTACACTGTTTGCCTTTTTGACTCATTATTGGAACGAAAGCATGAACATTGCTTATCTTTTGTTCTAGCCTGTAAATTAAATTCGACACGAAAAGAAGTTGAATCATTGAAAAGAGTGTGTTTTTCCTCAATATTTGTTTTTACAAAGAGAATGGCTTTATTTAGAGAAACTTGACAGTTATAATATTCGATTTTGATTTGAATTCAAGCTCTAGACTTGATTAAATTTTGTATGTCTATTATATTTTTTCTTAACCAATCGATTCAAACTAGGCGATTGTAAGGTGGCGCATTGTATACTTTAATCACTTTTGGTTTTTCCGATCCACAGCAAAATAATGTTCTGCAGATGCATTTCAAAATCGAGGCGAGCATTATGAGTACAAAGAATGCGATAATTAAGATGACAATGTACGAGATGACCAAAAAGAGATCGGGATCGATGTCCAAGCCCATGTCGCATTGTAATTCAAGTAGACTGATTTTAAGTCGATCGAAACCATTTGTCTCATCATCGAATTTCACAGCTACTTGTGCTGTCTTTACCACGGCACATCTTGCTTCATGCTCAATCGCTTGACCACTGCAATTCATATGTAAATCAATATTAAATATTTGACGTTTTCAAAATGACGAAGAGAAAAAAAACTCAAGATTCAGACACTTACATTTTATCGAAAAAGTCACCTGAAACGAAGACAAAGAAAAAAAAAATGCAAAAATTAGCAACTCAAATTACACACCATGGACATTGGACACACAGAAATATTTCAAACTGAATGAAAACCATACCTTTGGCGACGGCAACACAACACAATGTAAATATTAAAATCAACTTCATTTTTTCACTTTCGTAGTGGCTGCTTTGTTCAATGGATCAATTGTAAATTTTTTTTCTTCAAAAATTGGCCCGAATCAATAGCTGCAATTCAAATGCTAGAAAAAATAAATCAAAATGAACAACTGATTTTTGTATGTGCAATCTATTTGGCAGGCAGTGAGACTATGGGCACAAAATATCGCAATGAATTCTAAAATTACAAAGTGCGAAGTTATCAAGTAGTTTCCTTTTGATTCGACGCAGATGTTCTAAGTGAAACACGCAGACATGCAAACACACTGCCTAATTGCGGCTGATAGTTTGCGGCATCGCCTAATATGACTACACCGAACAATGCACATGCGTATGTATGTATAGTATATAGAGCAAATATACGAAACAGAAAGTGAATAGACACTGTGAAGCGACACCAAAAAACAACGTACTAGAATCGTATGAAATCGAAATGTTGTTCTAGTATACAAATGAATGCAAACAAGTTGTTTACAATAACATTGAAGAAAAAAAACAATAATAATTTGAAAAAACAAATTTATGTGTGTTTTAACTGTCCAGTGTAACAATCACGATCCAAACCGACTACAGATGGAATACGGAAAAAACGAGCCGCAAATCGAGACGGAAAAAATGTTTAATAACGCTGATCACACACACACACACACACACACACACACACACACACATACACACCAAAACCTCGGAATAGAAGTCAACAGAAAAAAGTTTAAATTTATCTGCACACATAATGTCGGATGATATGACATGAAATTTATTTTGAATTTGGGCTCATGCAAATAGAGCGATAGACTTCTGTAAATAAATCGGTTGTTTGTAACTAAATCCAATCAGAAAGAATGACAAGTACTGTCATTGCTGCAATAAAGGCTGACTACCAGTTGCTTGAATTTGTTTTAGTCATTTTGGCAATTATTGCAATTCTTATGGGAACATGTGTATACATGCAAATGATATAACTGTGGATGTAGCAGTCAATGGGTCGTTGTATACAAATTGTTGGCTTTTTTTTCTTGGCGACTTTTTTTTTACTATAATGTGTTTTCAATGAGATATTTAAAATAAACATGAAAAAATTATCTTCGCCTTGAACGGCACACATACATGTATATGAATGTCCGAGAATGAAAACGCAACTTCTATTCACAACACATATAAGTGAAACAAAAATAAAAAATTTATTGAAATGAAACAACAAAATCGAATTTTTTCAAAGTGTAACAACAAAACAGATTTTTTCAAAGTGTAACATACCGATGTATACAAGTGTAATATACATAGGTATTTTACACTTTGAAAAAATCTGTTTTGTTGTTTCATTTCAATAAATTTTTTATTTTTGTTTCACTTATATGTGTTGTGAATAAAAGTTGCGTTTTCATTCTCGGACATTCATATGGTACATGTGAATGGTTTATGTGCGTAAAGGAACGACATAAATTTAAATTTTGAATGAAACTTCTTTGTGTGTTTTCGTATGGAATGGTATGGAAATGATTCACTTCAAGAAAAATATCACATTTATGTCGCTCCATCCAATGGGTGAGTCATCCATTCATATGTCTTGTCCTGTTATTTCTTATGTTAATTCATTCATACATACAATGCTTAGTCTCTGCTATTCATATCAGTTAATCGGCTACTTCAACTGGATTACATATTTTGACCAGAGCTTGATGGTTTCTTTCCTAGGATGGATTTTGTTTGATTATTGATTCAACAAAAAGTTTGATAAGATGTTGCCCATCTCCATTGTATGCATTTCTTTGAGTTTTTTGTAGATTCATTCATTTGTTCAGAGTAGAGCACAGAGCATTCGCCACATTGGTTTCGACATAGAGTTGAAATGGCATTGAAGTAAACATTCAGAAAAGTCCATTCAACTCCCAAGTTTTCCGTTATTTCTCCATTTGACTTGAAATTTATTCGGCAAACAGAATTTATGTATTTTAAGTAATTATCGATGGAAATGTGGTTCAGTTTTGTGTTTAAATGTTGATTTCACCGAAACTATGTATTCAAAAGGTTACTGCCAGCCTCTCTGATCGTCTGTACAAACAGATAGGAAACGTCAAACAAGAACAATAAAGCGGCACCTGAAGACTGGTTGGTGAAATAGAGAATAATGCACATATCTTGCTACAACAATAATGCGTCTGTGTTAGTTCAAACGTTGAAAGTATGACACATTGCACTTAGTCCTCAGGCGACGCTGTATTGTTTTCTATTTTCATGATCAGAAAGGCTGCTTACTGCTAGACATTTTTCTACACCGAATGCAGCATAACTGCGTGGATAATGTTATCCTGTTAGATTAGATTAGTCTAATATTGTTTTAAGTTTTTATTGACACAACAGTGAACTGTTGAATGAACGAAATAAACGGAAATTCCTTAGATACCAAAAAACGGAAGCATACAATTTTATCAGCAATATTTTACATGAAATTGAGCATCACGAATATATTTAGCTGAAGGGTCCTTTTTGATGAAAAGATATATGAAGAGAACCCGAATTATTCACTTAGGTCGATAAGACCGTTTATCACATTTTTTTTTATTTTCAAAAATTGTATTATATTATCAAAATTATGAATAAAAAATTAATGAAATAATTCGAAAGTGTTCATTTTCATTTCCATGAGAAGTGTCAGACTTTATGAGTAATCAATCCTTAATCGGTCAAAAAATAGCATTGAAATGATTTTGGTTTTTTTTCTTCGAAAATATTTGTTGTTGATAACTAAAATGAAATCTTTTTGATAAAACTAACTTTTGGTGCTGTGGAACCGAACAATGAAATGCTAGAAGTGTGACACAACAGTGGATGGATGAAATAAACGAAAATTCTCCAGATATCGAAAACAGCGACATCAAATTTTATCAGCGATATTATTTACGCAAACGTCTTTTTGGTAAAAAGACATATGAAGTGAAACTGAGTTATTCATTTTTCGGTTTTTAGATTTATCAAGCAACCATTTCTCTTGGGATTGAAAAACGCAAGTCTTACTTATAAGTAGTATACTAAATACGATTGTATTTCAATTATTTGAAACATAAAATACACTAAATAATTTCGAAATAAATACGTCTTTACAAAACGGAACAATAAATGAGATTCCTGCTTAGTTTCAGTTTTATATTCGATCTGAAAACGTTGAATTTCGTGTACTATTCCTGTTTGACAAAATGAGATTTGTTATAGCTTGCGCGTTTGTTTTGATTTTCGCCATTAGGGATTGCATGGCTGCATGGCCATGGGGATCGCATGGCTGTATTTGGATTTGGATTGATGCTGTTATATTAAGTCACAATCATGAATCACGATACTTTGTTTGCAGTGAATCTTTTGGTGTTTTTCATGAAGAGTGTGATTCTTCTTCTGTGGAAGAGCTAAAAATTCAGAACTGCTCTGCCGAATGGATCGAGTCCCGATTAAATGTGTATCGAAATGTGCGCACGGTGGACATTTCGTTTTCGAACTATAAGAAGTTTGACCAAATATATTTAGATTTCGAATATTTGGAGCGGTTTAATGTGTCTTACAATCATTTAACGGAAGTACACTATAATCTATTTTACAAAACAACACAGCTAAAGGAAGTGGATTTTTCGCACAACCAAATCAAGGAACTTCATAAATTGACATTACCAATAGTGTCCAAGCTATCAATAATAAAAGTTTCGCATAATCAAATCGAAGAAATAGATTCGAAATTATTTAGTGGGCTTCCCGATTTAGAAGTACTCGTTCTAAGTGATAATAAAATTGAAAAGATTCCAAAAGACGCTTTTATAAAGAATTCCAAATTGAAAACACTCAACCTCAAAAATAATCCAATCCAACTGTTAAATTGTGTCATAACACAGTTATTAAATGGCGTGACTTCAATAAACGTGTCGTTCGAAAATGTTACTGAGTTCGATTTATCTTGTGCGAACCCTATGGAATGGGCTGTGATTGAAAAAGAAATAATTTTCAAGAATGCAAACAACAAAAATGAGCTTCGATATCCCAAGATGAATTTCAAACATTTACGCGATCTCTCTATCAGGGGAAATCGATTACAGAACCCGCTAGACATAGTGAACATGTTGGGAGAAACGATTCAGGAATTGGATTTAAGTGGAAGCATATTGGGCGAGGTGAATAAGACAGTATTTCAGGGTTTGAACAACTTGATAGTTTTAAAAATAAGTGATACAAGTCTCTCATTCACTGAATCTAATCCCTTCGAGCATCTTAACAAACTGACGGGACTTGATATTTCTTACAACAATTTAACAACACTGAATGTCAGTTTACTTTCGAAATCTTTGAGTAATTTATGGTATTTTAATGGAGCTGGAAATCAATTTAATAACAGTGTAGAAATCATACACAGTCTCGGATCAAATCTGATAAAGTTGGACCTTTCTCAAAATATCATCGGAACATTGAATCGCAGCACATTTGAACATCATTGGAATTTGACTGCGTTAAATTTGTCAGACACACATTTGGAACATTTCGATGTGAATTTATATAAAGTTCGAATGTTAGACATTTCACGAAACCAATTGAAGCAATTGAATGTGGCTTTACTGGGGCGTACTTTCAAATGGTTATTGTTCTTTGACGCAGCCGATAACAATTTTGAAAATACAGCTGAAATCATACAAAGTTTGGGAATTGATATACTCTATCTGAATCTTTCTGGAAATTATGTGGGAAAATTGAACGAAACTACATTTCAACAGCTTCCACTTAGATGGCTCTCGCTTCGACGCACCAATTTATCGATTCCTGATGTTAAGCCCTTCAAAGCTTTCACAGCTGTGTTGAAGTACCTTGATATTTCCTGCAACAATTTAACAAGATTGAACTTCTTCACATCATATGCTTTCTTACGTTTAAAAAAAATTAACTTGAGCGAGATCCAACTTACGCAACTAGACGGTCTTACCAAAGATTCATATCCACAACTCACTGAATTGGACATCACGAATAACCAAATGAATTGCACATACCTATCCATGTTCAGAAACCAATGGGAAAAAATAGATATAATCGGAGATCCGTGCGGTCAAATTAAAAAGAATGAAACTCAAAACCAAACTGACACCAGCGTTTCCAATGCTGTTCCGATCGGCGTGTCTGCTCTAATCATCATCATCATCATCATCATTGTAGCCGTTGTAGTCTTCCGTCGACGGAAATCATCTTCGAAAAGCAGCGAACAAATGCAGGTTTCTT